TGTCACGACCCCAAACCACCCCGATCGTGATGGCGCCTATCACAGTACTAGGTAAGCCGATTCAACACTAATAACATAAAGGTCTTTTGTACATTTATTTCCAAATCAATTATGGCCACAAATCTTTCATTTTAATATAACAAAATATGCGGAAAAACAATTATGCAAATACACCCACACTGCCCGATCCTGGTGTCACTATTCATGATCCACTAAGATACTGTCCAATACTATATATTCAATACAAGACAAGACTGAAATATAAAATGCTAAGGAAAGGAAGGAGAAAGGCAGGGCTGCGGACGCCGTACAGCTACCTTGCTATCTCCAGAAAAATACTCTGAAGGCAAAGATCAGCTCTCACTCGGAGGCTCTGGCACCTGGATCTGCACACAAGGTGCAGGGAGTACCGTGAGTACGCCAACTTAGTAAGTAACCAAAGTAAACAAAAGCCTGAGTGCACTGACGAGCATTTAAATCATATACATAGTCTAACATAGAATCTCAATACATATAACAAAGTCAAATCTGTAATTCAAATTTCCGAACATCTTGTAAAAACTCATATTTCAATGAAAGTTAATTAAAACTTTTATTCAATATTTTCCAGTGGAGGCTCAGCATAAAAGAAGTGAAAACAGTAAGTTCATAAAAAAGCCCCTCGGGCAATGTATCACCCATATATATAGCCTCTCGGCCAAGCCTCTCAGTAACTCGTGACTCGACTCTCATCAGTCATCACTTACACTCAGCACTCCCGCTCAATAGATATCTCATAACCGCTGCGGCGTGCAGCCCGATCCGTAAATATATATAGTCGACTGCGCTCACTGGAGGTGTGCAGACTCCGAAGGGGCTCCTATAGCCCAAGCGCTATATATATATATATATATATATATATATATATATATATATATATATATATATATATATNTGTGGCGTGCAGCCCGATCCATATATATATATATATATATATATATATCGCTGCGGCCGTGCAACCCGATCCATAAATGTATATATAAATATCGCTGCGGCGTGCAGCCCGATCCATAAATTTATATATAATCCTCACCATCAGGTCCTCGACCTCTCTCAGTTATCAACCTCACAGCCACTTGGGCATTTCACTGAAAAATCAGGGAACTTAGCCCAAACAACTTTCATATATTTAAAACAGAGTAATGAAGCTGAATCTAAAGTAAATAGGTAAAAATCATGACTAAGGATATGCTTTCGAATCAGAAAAGTATGAGGAAAGTAGTAAAATACCCCTGAGGGTCCAAACAGTTCGGCACAAGGCCCCAAACATGGCATTCAGCCCAAATTAACAGATTCATTTCTAAAACACATAGGTATCATATAGAGTTTATCAAATAAGCAACTCTACAGTTGCCACGGGACGGACCAAGTCATAATCCCTACGGGTGCACGCCGACACGCCCGTCACCTAGCATTTGTGTCACCTCATTTATCCAAATAGTATGAAATTCCAGGGTTTCATTCCCTCAGGTCTAGATTTACAATCATTACTTACCTCAAACCGGATGAAAATCTATTGTGCGATGCCTTTGCCACTCGACTAGGCCTCAAATCGCCCCGAATCTATCCAAAATCACAATCATAACATCAATATATGCTAAGGAACAAAGCCCACGCGAAAATAATTAAATTACATCAAAAATCCTGAAATTGGCCAAACCCGACCCACGGGGCCACGTCTCGGAATCCGATAAAAATCACATCACTAGAATCCTTATCCTCCCACGAGTCCATACCTACCAAGAACATCAAAATCGGACCCCAAATGGCCCCTCAAATCCCCAATTTAAATTCTCCAATTACAAGTCCTAATTCTCCAATTTTTAACCGTTAAATTCCACTAATTTCATGTCTAATCAACTAGAAATCTCCATCGAATCGAGTATTGATTTCAAAAACCTTATCTCCAAGTGTTAACCCTCGAATCCCTATTCAATTCCTCTTAAAAAGCTCCAAGTCCGAACACAAATGGTGGAAAAATGACCAAATTTCGCGAAGAGGGCCTTTCATACTTTCTGCCTAGCGATTTGCGCACCTGCAGACAATATATCGCACCTGCGGGCCGCTTCTGCGCCAAAAAATCCGCACCTGCGGAATCCACTTAACTCCTCAGACGCCGTAGCTGCGACCCAGGTCTCGCACCTGCGGGCTCGCAGATGCGGTCAAGACCTCCGCTTCTGCGACTGACACCGGTTCTGCGGTCTCCTTTCCGCTTCTGTGGCTCGCACCTGCGGTCCCCAATCCTCAGGTGTGGTAATGACAGCAACAGCAGCTGAAGCTGCTCAATTTCAAGACCAAACTTTCCGACAACCTTCCGAATTTATCCCGAGGCCCTCGGGACCTCAATCTAAAATACAAACAAGTCATGTTCACTACTAAAACTTATTCCAACCTTCGGAACACTCAAAAAAACATTGAAACATCAAATCACCCTCGGATTCAAGCCTAAGGATTTCAAAACTTCCGAATTCCGCAAACGACGTAAAAACCTATCAAACCTCATCCCAATGACCTGAAATTTTGCACACACGTCACAAATGACACAACGAACCTACTCCAATTTCCAGAATTCCATTCCGACCCTGATATCAAAGTTCCCACTGCCAACCGAGAAATGCCAAATTTCCAATTCAAACCTAATTCTACCACGGACCTTCAAATCACATTCCGAACGCGCTCCCAAGTCCAAAATAAGTTAACGGAGCTAAACAAATCATGAAAATCCAAATCCGATATCAAATACTAAAAAGTCAAAACTTGGTCAAACCTTTCAAATTTAAAGCTTCAAGCTGAGAATCGTTCTTCCATATCTATTCCGATTAACCTAAAAACCAAAGCCGATGATTTACATAAGTCATAGTATATCATATGGGGCTAGCCATGCCCGAGAACTGGCGAGCTAAATGCAAATGCTCAAAACGACCGGTCGGGTCGTTACAACGTGTTTCTATTTCCTTGAGCTGTGTTGGTTTTCGGTATTTTCACTGGAAACTCTAAGGATTGGTAAGTCGGATCGTCACTGGCTTATTTCTTGAGACTGTAGCTATTATCTTCAGTTGACTGTCTTATTTTGTTTCCTATTTCCTTTTCTGCCTTTATTATATACTACGTACAGGTTGTAGTGTAGTTGACCTGTCTTAGCCTCATCACTACTTCGTCGAGGTTAGAATCGGTACTTACAGAATACATGGGGTCGATTGTACTCATACTACACTCTGCACTTCTTGTGTAAATTTTAGAGTCGGTCCCAGTGGCGGTTATTAGCGTGCTCGGATTGGACAGCTGGTGGAGACTTGACGTACAACTGCTCAGCGCCTGCAGCTCCTGGAGTCCCCTTCCCTTTTTATTTGGTTGTGTACTTCCTTTTCAGGCTGCTTTTATGTTATTTCAGACCCTTGTTTGTACTATTCTAGTAGCTCGTGCACTTGTGACACCGGGTCCAGGGTTGTATCAAACGTTTGGTTGTTTTAGCTTCCGTATTTTTCACTTTGGATTATTTTAGTTCGTTCTCGTTATTTAATTTAAACTGATAAAAATGGATAAACGGTTCTAACATTGGCTTGCCTAGCAAGTGAAATGTTAGGCGCCATCACGATCCCGACGGTGGGAATTCCGGGTCGTGACAAAAAATCTATGGGGAATCAAGGTTTATGAATTTATCTAAGTAAGAATTATTTATCCTCAAGATTTGGGTGAAATCCTTCTTCAAAATCTCGTCCTCCCAATCTCCAAAACTCAAAAATGGTGAAAATAAGTTACAACAACAACAACAACAATAAAAAACCTAGTATAATTGTACATGGTGGGGTCTGGGGAGGGTAGTGTGTATGCAGTCTTACCCCTACCTTGTGGAGATAGAGAGGCTGATTCCTATAGACCCTCAACTCAGAGAAGCACAAGCATGTGAAAATAAGTTAAATTTCAAAATCTAGACAAAATATACCCCTGGAGCTCGATCTGTATACGCGATAGCAACTAAGCTTACGTGATCGCAAAGGCCAACTGGCCTGGCTCCTACGCTACTGCGACATCCTTCACGCGACTGCGATGCACAAGTTAACAATCCTACGTGATCGCGAGACATAGCTCTACGATCGCGACACACTGTTGTGCATAAGAAAATTAACAGGTGCAACATGTTCTAAAGTTCAACAAAACTACCCAGAAACTCACCCGAGCCCTGGGACCCGTCCAATTATCCTAACAATTTTGTATACCCTATACAAACTTGTTTAAAGGCTTATAATACTAAAAATATCATAACACCAAGAATCCAGCATCAAACCAAAAATTTCAAACTTTCTTAAGTTCAAATTCTAACTTTCAACTAAAAGTGTCGAATCAACATAGGGCCACTCGAGATCTGAACCGAATATACGTACAAGTCCAAAATCGTCAAGCGAACCTATCGAAACCTTCAAATCACTAATCCGAGCTCGTTCACCTATAATATTAACTTTGGTAACTCTTCCAACTTAAGGCTTCTAGTTAGGAACTAAGTGTTCCTAATCACTTTCGAACCTCTCTCGAACCAAATCTATACCTACAAGTTATAAAACACCAAAGCAACCTACGAGAGGCATCAAATAGAAAAATAAGATTCTAAAATTTAAAATGATTGGTCAGGTCATTCAAATTTATGTATAAGAACAAGTAATTGTTACAACAAACCTGATCAATTTATCTAAAAAACAAAATGTGTGTTCCGTTATAATTGGTTAAATTACACTAATAGTGTAAGATTCTTTATCTTGTTAGTATTTAAACCAATTATTTTATAATGATATCTCTTTTCTTTTTCCGATCATTTTGGCTTAGTTATATTGACTGCAATCCATTCAAGAAAGGGAATCTTGCCCTCCACCGACGAGATAAAATAAAGTAAAAAGTTGCTCTTTGGAATTAGATTCGATTCTCAATTTGGCCAATAAAATGAGCATAGAATAGTGACAACCGTTTCCTTCGAGGTCCACTGGTCGGCAAACCTGTTAATTGATATAAAGTGGTGCAAAGGAATATGTACAATCTCGTTGATGAAGAAACTATCACTTCAAAATCTAAAAACTAAAATTATAAACGCCAAAATCATCATTTTTTTTTTCTTAGCACAAATTACTAGGAACAAAAAACAACTGAACTGCAATAGTTATGAGGCTAATTGTAACAATGACAGTGCTGTTCAGATTGTAACTTGTTGATCTGATGTTTTTAGGAATTGGAATAGAAAACAAAAAGGAAATCAAGCCCAAACCTATTTTTTGGAATGTGGTTTAGTTAGGGTGTTTCTGTAAGCACAACAACCAATGAGATAAACCCATATGAGAATGACCAAAGTTATGATGAGAATGAGATTAGATTTCCTCCATTCTTTTCTGAGGTTTCCGAGTAAGCCAGCTTTGCAAGAATCACAATTGTAACATAATTGGCTAGGGTCATTGTTCCAGATGGAGCAATCAGCATCTACTATTGCGTTTGTTGGGTTAGTCCACAGGATTGGGGTCATATACTGGTATCCACAGATTGTTGGAGGCTTACAACATCCAGACTGCAATTTAGGAAGAAAAAGGGCAAGTGTTAAAAGAAAATGAGAATATATAAAACATCCAAGAATAGTATATTATATAGGTAAACATTGCTTAAACAACTATTCCACAGTTTCAATTTAGATGACACATTTTTCTTATTATTTCGATCAAAAAAGAATGAAATATTTCTACAATTAGAAATAATTCAACTTTAAACTCTCCATTTTACTCATTTTATCCTTAATGAGAAACTTCTATAAGCACACAACATGGCCCCACAAAGTTTTTACTACTTTAAGCTTTTAAGATGACAAGTTTCAAAAGCCTTTTTTTTAAAAAAAATTCCGTCCCGAATCAAATTACCTCATCTAAATTGAAACAGAAGGAGTAGTTTATAAGCTAAATAAGTAGGGCAGGGGTCAAATTTCCCGCAGAGCCGCTTGAAATACACAAAAGATGCTTAGATGGTTGTCAAATTCTATCTTTTATTCTAAAGTTGAAAGGCAACATCTGTGTGTGTGACACTAGTTAAAGGGCCAAACGAACATCGCCTAGAGGCAAAAGCTGGCAAGCATGCATGTAAAAACCTTATTTTAGTACATCTTTTATCTTTTACTGTAAAGACAGTCTAATCTTAATTATTCCCGATTGACTAAGTGCTAAAGTCTTGGGCACAATTCTCTTTCGAAATAAATTAAAGTGCCTACAAGAAGTATTTATGTGAAATTCCTAAAAAAATTGCGTTTGCCTTCTAGCACCCACAAAATTAAATTAAAGATGCAGAGTAAAAAGAATAGCTAGCTTAATTTACCTGAATAGGGGAGAGATCAGCAGCAAAGAACTGTTCAGCAGTGACATAGTGATTGTTAAGTCTAGGGCAAATACCAGAATCAGCCAAACATGCCCTAATATTCCCCCAATTATCAGCACTAGTAATATGATCCCTCAACCAGTAAGAAAATCCTTCAAGCCTGTACTCATGGTATGCCCTTCCGGGGACCATATAGGAGCCAGTTGGACCCGTGACGACAAAGGCGAGCACGAGGAGTACGAGGAGAAGGACGATGAGAATCGCCATGCACACCAAGTAGACACCTAGAAGGCCTTCCTTTTTCCAGTAAGCTCCGACAAAGCCAGTCAAAGAAACTAACATGATGGCGATTCCGATGAAGACGACCGGCCATCGGAGCCAGTGGATGCATTCGTTGTCGGGCTTTGAAGCTAGCCAGGTGCCTGATGCGATTATAGGGATGGAGCACATAAATGCCAAAAAGTTCAAGAATGCTGTTATGTTATTGCTCAAATTAGCCATGCTGCTTATTTTCTTTTTTGCCGGAATTCGATCGGTGTTTTCTTGGTATTGGTTTGTAGCCTTGGAGAGAGTTGTTTTTTTGAGTGTTGGAGTTATAGGCTTATAGCTAGAGAAGAGAAAAAACAGGGGAAAGTGTAGAATGTAAATGTGTAGTATTTTTTTGGAAGGAAGATGCTACTTATATAACTATATGAACTGATAAGTGGCACCAACCAGGGTTGTGGTGGAGTGGTAAGTATTCCTTCATCCTTAATCAGAGGTTTCAGGTTCGAGCCGTGGGTATGAAGTCACCTTTGTTAGGGAGCGCTTTACCCCCAATGTGGGACTTTCCGGCGCGAATCCGAATTTAATCGAGCCCCAATGCGAATACTAGCCGTGTATGAAGTCACCTTTGTTAGGGATCTTTTTACCCCCAATGTGGGACTTCCAGGCGCGAATCCGGATTTAATCGAGCCCCAATGCGAATACTAGACATTAGATGGAAAACCAGAAAAAAAAACTCATAAGTGGCGCTATAAAATGAAATAAAATAAAATGATAAGTAAGGCATACTTTTATTCCCCTGATTCAATTTGTTTGTCTTAGTTTGACTTAACACAAAAATTGATAGAGAGAGGATTTTTTAAACTAGTGAACTTAAATATACAATAACATTTGTGTGGCTATAAAATACTTAAACAAGACATCGTATTTGTATAATTACAAATGTTTCCCGATAAAAAAATATAAAAATGTGCCAATATTTTTGAAATAAATAAACTAACTAAAAATAGTGCCAAACTTTTATAAATGGAGGGAGTATACATTAACAACATAAAATAAAAATAAGTAGTATAATAAAAGGCGGAATGAATAATATTAAATAAAGGCAATTAACGTTTTATAACAAATTAAATTAGACTGATTATATAAAAATAATTTATACATTTAGTTAATATAAGATAAATACATTCATATAAACGTAAATCCAATGACCCGGCTGGTCATTTTGAGAATATTAGCCTCGATCCCCCATTTACTGCTTTTTCCGTATCTTTTTCTGCTTGCGTGACTTGCTGGGAGGTTCCGTTTTTGTTTCGGAGTGATTTGGGACACTTAGTCCCTAAAACGGAAGCTTAAGTTCTAGGATTTTGACCGTAGTTAGAATTGTGTGAAAAAGACTCCGGAATAGAGTTTCGTCGGTTCCGTTAGCTCCGTTGAGTATTTTAGACTTAAGAGCGTGTCCGGATTGTGATTTGGAGATCTGTAGCTGAATTAGGCTTGAAATGGCAAAAGTTGAATTTTTGGAAAGTTTGTCAGGGACTGGACTTTTTGATATCGGGGTCGAATTCTGGTTCTGAAAGTTAGAGTAGGTCCGTAATTTCGAATATGTCTTGTGTGCAAAATTTGAGGTCAATCAGACGTGATTTGATAGGTTTCGATATCGGTTGTAGAAGTTTGAAGTTTCAAAGTTCATTAAGGTCGAATTGGAGTGTGATTCGTATTTTTGTTGTTGTTTGATGTGATTTGAGGGCTCGACTAAGTTCGTATGGTATTTTAGGAGTTGTTGGTATATTTTGAGGTCCCGGGGGCCTCGGGTGTGTTTCAGATTCATTTTAGACTTGTGTGAATTGCTGAAGTTCTTCAACTTCTGGTGTCATTGCACTTGCGGTGAGGTTGACCGCAAGTGCGGACACACACGTGCGAAACGTAGCTCGCAGATACGGCCCTGGTCTAGGTAGCCAGTGGTCGTAGGTGCGATAATTGGACCGCAGAAGTGGAGCCGCTCCTGCGGAGAAGTGATTACACAAGCGGGAGTTGAGCTGGGTGAGGATTTTGCAGAAGCGGACAATTGTCCAAAGGCACGCACACGCAGGTGCGGCCACTTGATCGCAGAAGCGAACCCAAGTGTCTTAAGTCAATTCCGCACCTGCGATGGAAATTCTACAGGTGCAGTGTCATAGGAGCGACTGGGCCCGCAGGTGTGAGATCACCGGGCAGAAAAGGGGAAATTACGAGGGTTTCTCTCATTTTCACATTGGGACTTTGAGAGCTCGGATTTAGGCGATAATTTGGAGGATTTTCAGAGGAAGCTAATAGATCTGGGCCATTCAGAGCCCGAAAATCATGGAAAAGGCATTCTTACTAATTGATTGAGCTTGGTTCGAGGTAAGTGGATTGCCTAACCTTGTGTGAGGGAAATCTCCTTAGGATTTGGTACTGTTGTGATACTTTTGTGATATAAGAGCGACGTGCACGCGAGGTGACGAGTGAGTACACGCGCTAATTATTGTAAACCTTGGTTTTTACTTAGTAGTAACCTGTTACATCTTAATTGAGTTATACCAGCATATGTAGTTATCCTGTTTAGCCTAATATTGCTTGTTTGCGTTTCTTAAATGCTTATTTGAAATCTGTGCAGCATGCTTAGTTGATTTCCTGTTTTTCCTTGATTTGTATCAGTCTTAATTGTTGAATTCTTGCTGTTAATTGTTGTATTCATCGGTTTCGAGTTGTGTGTTTACTTTTGAGACTACGAGGTGGTACCTCGGGTGATTCCCCTACGTATTTACTTTTGGGTCTACGAGGCAGTACCTCGAGAGATCTCCCTGCACATTTACTTTTGAGACTACGAGGCGGTACCTCGGGAGATCCCGCCGCATATTTACTTTTGGGACTACGAGGTGGTACCTCGGGAGATCCTGTGTTGAGCATTTACTTTTGGGACTACGAGACGGTATCTCGGGAGCGCCCCTGCTGTTTATCCCTGTGTATTGTGCTGCTATTTTTCTGTGATTTTCTGTTTGTTAAATTTCCAGTCTCTTATTACATTGCTATATTCTTCTGCCTTATTTATTATATAACAGTAGGGCCCTGACCTGACCTCGTCACAACTCGACCGATGTTAGGCTTGGCACTTACTGGGTACCGTTGTGGTTTAATCATGCTACTCTTCTGCACACTTTTTTGTATGCAGATCCAGGTACTTCTTATCTGACTCGTTATCGGTGAGCAGTGAGATTGTGGAGACTTCAAGGTATATATGCCCGCGTCCACAGACCTTGGAGTCCCCCTCTATTCTCTCATATGTCATTCACTTTCCGTACTTTCTTAGACTCTGGTGTATAGAGATACTTAGTTTTTCTTCTATAGCTTGTGACTTATGACTACAGGGTTTTGGGAATACTATGTATACTCGAGTGCTGGTTTACTTGTACATGTCGAGCGATATTTTATCATTATATAGTTATCTGTTGCTGTCTGGTGGTTAAATTTTATTTTCATTTCTCTTATTCCACAAATTGTTAGGCTTACATAGTCGTAGAGACTGGGTGCCGTCACGACATCTTATGGAGGAAGATTTGGATCGTGATAAGTTGGTATTAGAGCTCTAGGTTTATAGGTGTCGTGAGTCACAAGCTGGTTTAGTAGAGTCTCGTGGATCGGTATGGAGACGTATATACTTATCTTCGGGAGGTTATGGAACTATTAGTAAAATTTCATTTCTTTTGATTCCTTGTCGTCCGAAATTGTTGACTTTGAAATTCTAAACTTCTGTCTTCTATTCTCTCACAGATGGTGAGGACACGTACAGCTGGATCAGATGACCAGGCAATCCCGCCCCCCTTCTAGAGCAGTGAGAGGCAGGGGCCGGGGTAGAGGCTGAAGACGTCCACGTTGTGCAACCAGAGCACCTGCGCGAGCTGCTACAGAGGAGCCACGAGTAGCTCCAGTCGGAGCGTAGACACGTGAGACGTCTGTTACTACACCAGCTCTTCACCAGACCCTTGCATAGTTCATGAGCATGTTCGGTACTCTAGCTCAGGCAGCATTCATTCCACTTGCTCCTGCCACATCTCAGGCCGGGGGAGGAGCACAAACTCCCACCGCCGGCACCCCGAAGAAGCAGGTTCAGGTCGAACAGGTTCTAGAGTTGATCACTGCCGACTCAACACTACTCTAAAGTAGGAAGAGCGGGTCGCAACAGCTTTTACCCGAATAGTGGTTCGGGATCGATTTTCCACAGGGAGCTAGTAGTGGAGTTGTAATGTCTGTTCAGTCTAGAATTGCGGTTGTGCTTCTAATGTCTCTTCCAACATATTTGGTTTTGATTTTTATATCTACTATTATAAGACTAGTGATTGAAGCTAAATTATGCTACGGAAATATTGCTAAGTTGTAATTAATATAGAGAAAGGCACTAGGGTCGTGGCATTGCCTAGGTGGCTAATTAACGGGTAGATGCTACTAAGGATAGATTGACATATTTGGGGCTTATGCTATAACCGTTGCACAATTGCACCCACTCTCACACCTCTCGGTAGAGAGAGTGATTTTGCATAATTGACTCTCTCGAGACCAATTGGGTAGGCCAATTAGACCAACCAACTAGGGTTCAAGTAGGGTGATTACTCTCTCGAGGTTTAACCCGTTAATTGGGACTACCATTTCTCATGGGTCCATCCCAATTCCTTGTTGGGTCAATTTTGGGGTTATAGACTCTCTTTCTCAAGAAGAGTTGAACCCACTAAGCTAGAATCAGTGTTTGCAACTACTAATCCTTAATTAAAACCTAAAATTAACCCAAATAGCAAACACCCAATATCAACCTAACCTTAGATGGCAACACCCATGAATTACCCACACTAGGGTTGAGCCACAACCCTAGTTGGTGAATTTAGCTACTCATGCTAGATGCAAAAATTAAGGAAATAGATGAAGAAGTAAACATATTAATTAATTGTAAGGAAGAAAATACAATATTGAAGAGTAAGAATGCCAAAAATGGCTAAACTAGGCATTCTCACGAGCTCAGCAGCTTCAAAAAAAACAAAACTTAACCTAAAACAGAAAAAGGTTCTATTTATACTGGGCTGGAAAAATTGGACAAAAATACCCCTGCGGGGTCAGCGCGGACCGCGCAAACCGCGGCCGCACTGGCTACTTCTCTAAAGTTGAGGACAACGTAAAAATGAAGCGCGACCGCGGTGGAAATTGGCGCGGCCGCACAGAATTGAGCGTGGGCCGCATTGCTTGGAAAGGGTAAAAAATAGGCTCTCTGAATCTCTGCTCCGCGGACCGCGTAAAAGTGCAGCGCGGCCGCGGAGCATGACCGCGGACCGCATTGGATTGACCGCGGCCGCGTAGCCTCCCCTTGAATTTTGCCATTCTCTGAACCTCCTAGTGCGGC